TTGGGGTTCTCTGAAAAACCCCACAGTGACTTTGAAAACAACACAGAAACACAGAAATACCAAAAACTGACTCCCTGGTCACCTCTTGCATAGGACTTGTAACTGCAGTTCAGTGATTTTTTTCAAGTTCTGTAATTGTGTTAAAAAAAGATGCCAAACCATGAAAAAGGGTGAAGGCACATGTACGGTCAGTCAGCCCCACACGGGGCAGGGCAAGGTGTGGGCAAGAGTTTCACAAGCAGGTACCAGGGGTGGATCCACACACAGAGAATATTGCAGTGCTCTGAGCAAGGACAGCTCTGACACAAGAGGAAATGTCACTGCTACACCTTGTGCTGCTCCCCCATCCCCAGACTCCCCAAAGCACAAAGCTGAGGATAACAATTCAGGGAGACTCGAGCTGCTCCCAGCTCCCCAGCCAGGGTACATGAGGTGAATGTGAAAGAGCAGAGGAGCTTTGGGCTCTCCTGTGCAACCCATTTTAAGCTACACTTAGAATTTACTGCGCTGCACTTAGAATTTACCCCTTCATTTGCAGAGAATAAAATCTTCCCTGCTCCATGCAATGAAATAGGGTCAGAGTGGAAGGCAGAAGGATTTTCAGGTTTAGCTGCAACAAAGTCAGATCTTTGCAGCTCTTTTTGTGCTCTGGAGCATGGGCAGCATCCCTGTACAGAAGATGGGGTTGGAAAAGCAGCCCCCTCGCCAGCCTGGGAGGTGTCAGCTCAGAATGAGTGACAGGGGACACACCTGGGTGCCACCACTCTGCACAGAACTGAAAAACTGATCACACAGAAAAGCCTCCTTTGCTATTGAATGGAGCTGCTCGTCCTCATCATCCTCATTGCTGCAAGGAGAGGGTGATGGATCAATGCCAAAGGTTTTCAAGAAGCACGAAGGAGGCAGATGGAGCAGGGAGACCTCCTGGCCAAGCGTGGGCAGCTGCCCAGAGCCCAGGGCTGGGGGGCTCTGGGATCCTGGAGACCAGCAAGGAGAAGGTGCCATGTCCAGTGGGGCTGAGGACACCTCTCAGCAGAGAGGGGACTCCTCAGGCAGGCAGAGCCCTCCCACTGCTGCACCCAGCTCCTACAGCCACGTCCAGGCAGCTTGTGGCGGCCACTCCAGGGATGGCAGTGGGACAGGGATGGAGCCCCTGAGGCCAAGAGGAGGTTCCTGACTTTGTTTGGAGCAGGTCTGAAGGTGGGAAGCTCCCCCCTGAAGAAGACAAGCCCTGAGGGGATCAGCCTCTTTTAGGCCATTCCTGTGCCTTGGCAGTGCCCTGGGAGGGAGCTGCTGCCAGGGTGGATGAGGATGTCCCTCCTCAGGATCTGGTCCTGCCATCGGCTGTGCTGAGGGGGCCACCACAGTCATGGTGGAGAAGCTCTGAGGAGCTGGGGGGACCCTGGGCTGCTGCTGCTCCCCTCCTGCCACCAGCAGCC